ATTTGAGTTTGCCCGGGCTTAAAAAATTTCCTAGCTCCGCCACTGCTCTATATATCTCTATATATATGTATATATTATGTCATATTTTCAAACAGGACCATATGGTCACATGAGAATTAATATTAATTCCTTTCAGAAGAGATCTAATATTAATTAATCCATATAGCTACATCATAAACCCAATGCCCAAAAGACGTAAGTGAATGGACTAACAATAGTACTAGATAAGTTAATCTATCCAATTAAGACAAAGAAAGTAGGTAGAATGTTATATAAATATGTTAATCAGATAACTTAACCAGTATCAGGGCAGTCTGTAGACTATACGTGCCCTAACTAGCTAGTTAGCTTGTCATGCTTGTACTATACTCCCTTCGTTAACTTTATTAAGTTTATCTAAATTTATAGAAAAATTTAGAATCACCTAAAATATTTAATTAGTTTTATTAAATCTAATATTATTATATTTTAATAATATGTTTTTTAAAATAATACTATATTTTCTATAAAATTTTGATCGAATTTAAAATAATTTTACTAATAGAAAAATCAAACGACTTATAAGATGAGATGCGAGGAGTGCATATAACTAATAAATTAATTAACCTCACATGGTTTTAGTGTGACAATGGCCGCTAGCTGTTTGCTAGCTTTTCGGCTGTCATGCGCTTTAATTTCTACAAGTCCCCAAAGTCTAAACGTGTACCGCAATTCTCTCGAGCTGCATGATCAATTCGACGGGCGATCGATCGATCCACCGATGATTAGACATCATATATTTATATATGCCCTTGTACTACCTTTTTCCTCTTTCAATTAGGGCAACACCAATGTATTTGGCAAACTAGTCCATAGATGTGGTACCCACACATGGGAGTCCATAGTTTTAGAAACCACCACAATGTGTGTAATTAAGGTGGGTCCCACTAAAGGAAAAAAAATCAGCCGGAGCTGAAGCTTGTTATTTCTTTGCTACAGACTAGTTGCACAATGTGTTAAGATAGCTGAATGGAATTTTTTATTTTCTATAGACTAGTTTTCATCTACATTGTGAATGCCCTTACTAGTCCATCTAATTAAATTAATCTACTAACAGAAACCAGTAACACACTTGCACTGAACTCATTAGACTAATCTAGATTCTAAATCTAATCATCAAGTTAACTAGTTGCTCGTGCAAACACGTAACTTGCATTTGATCGGGTTAATTATATTTTGCTCACAAACTTTTCGATTTGCACGTGCACGTGTGGCAATATATTTGCAGTATATTTGTCAAATTGATCTCACCAACCCGTGTGACTTTTATCCTAGCTGCCAAATCGAAAGGAAAAATGTATTCCCTCTGTACACGTAAATAAAATCGTTTTGGACAGCGATACGGTCTCCAAAACATAACTTTAACTTCTTATTTTTATAAAAATATTTATTAAAAAGTGATATATGTATACTTTTAAAAAATAGTTTTCAAGACAAATCTATTCATATAATTTTTACATTTTCAAACTTAACAACTTGAGAATTATTTATAATTTATATTTTTAAGATTTAACTTAAATATTATTTTAAACGACTTATTTTACGAGTACGGATAAACTATAGGGAATAGTGCAAGCGTGCAATTGCAGGGTCTAAAAGGCAAAAGTGGCAGCTAGCTACCTAGAGACTATAGTCTATAGCTAAGCCAAAAAGGTCGTAGTGCCGTACCGGCATCTTGCACGAACGATGACTACTCCAATTAAGCTTAGCTAAACTCCAATTAAGTTTAAGCTTATTCGGCGCCGTATTACGCATGCAGTGTGCATATTTTCCGTGTGCGTGCATGCGTTAAAAACTTAAAATGATGCTTGATTAATCACATTCGGTTTTCAATCGATCGTGTGATACACGTGTACATATGCCGTACGTGTGAATAAGGTGCTTTTGCACTCGTGTAATATTTTGGTACTTGGTTTGTTACAAAAACTAGGCGCGGCTATTTTTTATTTTAGAAATGCACACTACATTGACTAGAAGTAATATTAAATTAATTATTGGTATATCGATTGGATTAATTTTCTTTGGAGTTTTTTTTCTAGTATATATTCAATTTCGATATTCTTTCATATCTGTAAGATTTTTCCAATTCTAAACCAAAATGTAACTTTTCAACTTTGACTTATATTTATTCTAGACATGGAGAGAAATCAACTATTTTAGGTGAGCAAACAAATAATGTTCACTCCCATAATAGTAGTTGGCGTATCTAGAATTTTTATATGGGTGATCCAACTTATATATTTTTTAAAATACCCTAAATATAATAAGGTTAGAAATATAAATTGATTGCATCATAATATATTAATAAGACAGTGTTTTTTTCTTTTTGCAAAAATATATTTCACATATGTAAATATACATTGGGATAGGATTTTTTTTTGGTGGTCCCAGGATTACCTATTAGATCCTATAGTGGTAGTAGCAACAGCAACAACAACAAGCTTCATTTCCCATGTAGTATAGAGGATTACGTGTTGATAGATATAGATCAATTTATGTGAACCCTGATAGATCTAGATGTAATTTTTTTGTCTGGAATTCAGAGATATTTTTAGTACGTTTTGCTATAGAGAATGACCAGAAGTGTTTAAGTGACTCGATAGATGCCTTTTTTTTAAATGTTTTTCCAGAAATTAAAGTTGGCATTCAAATTAATTAGTACCATTCATTTTCTGGGTTTATCTCCTAATATCATTATGTAAACTTATTTGCTAATTAACCATGTGTGAAATGTGTGTACACAGTGCTAACCAGGGCGTACGGCAAATTAATTACCTGCAGCTAAGCAGCTTGCTACATTTTCAACGGCCTGTTAAGACAGTTTCCCTGAACAACAGCAACAGTCCAATTAATCCTTTCAGAGACTATTCACCTCTGGGCCAGTTATTTCTTCAAACCTACAGCTACACCATTTGCTATTCCTTGGTCAAAACGACTGATCAATCAAGTACAGAAATGTCAAACCCAATTTGAACATTTGATTGAGTGGACAAGCTATGAGCAAGTCAACCAGACGTACAGCCGAAGCTAATTAACTTTGCTGTCGAATTCTTCCTCCAATTTTCATCAGTTCCATGGCATGTGAAAGGGATCGCGGCTACTATTGCATGCTTTGTTGGTTGTCTAATTTGCATGTACCTTTTCGAAGTTGGAAAAATTCTTTCTCCGGTTTGGAAAGTTCTCTGCAAGCTCCGTCAACTGTGTGCGCATTCATGGCGCTCTAGCTGCTTAATTAGCTGCGTAGAATTCATCCAAGCTCCAATTCTTTTCTACCTTTAATTTGTGATAGCGATTGGAACTGATCTTCATTCTCTTGGCCTCACTAGATCTGACCATATGGTATAATTTTCAATTCAATTAAAAAGTAAGCTAAAACGACTCTCTATATGTATGGTGTACCTAAATGCACGTCTAACCCTAAATATATTTCCTTTGTAGGGTTGTGTAGAGAGTCGTTACTAGATCGAGAATCACACCTTATTAGTAGATTCTCGATTTTCATGAAAAAGGTTGAAAACAATTTGTGAAATTTAGAAAAGATTTACTATGATTTTTTTTAAAAAAATTACCGAGCGGAATTATCAGCCTGAGCCAACTCAAAACCTGATATTTCATGAAAAACATGCCGTTTCCGTCGGTTGGTGAACTCTATCATGTGTCCCTCCTAATTAATAATAGCACAAAATATATCGATGAAAATTTCATATTATTTGCAACGCGCTAGGAATGTGAAATATATATATTTTTTTCTCTAGTACAGCTCGATGATTTTGACACGGGTTAATTTTGGTTGAGTTGTAGAGACCTTGAGTGATTGATCAGTGTGTGAGAGATTCAATGAATCAGCGCAAAGCCGTACACGAATTAATTACCACACAGCGGCAAAATCACTTTGGAAATCAAACAGTGCAGGCAGTTAGCGTACGTACAAACGTCATAGCGTGTCGATATTATCCATGGGTGAAAACCGCGTGCTACACATGTAAATGCAGCGGAAGGGAGGAATCAGCATCAAATCGATCGCCACAAATGTCAATGTGGCGGTGCCAACAACAAAGCATGTGTGTGCACTGTGCATAGAGCCTCGCGTTTAGTCGCCGGCGGCCATGCTTTTGTCGCGGAGACGATCGAGACGATTTTGTTGGGAATCATTGAGGCGAAAAGTCATTTCTTGGAAACTTTCTCGACCGCGGAGAGATGGATGCAGGTGTTGTGTCCATAGACGCGGTGATCTGATCGATCGATCGATCTCCAATAATCCAAGCTGCTACTGTTGGAGATCGCGACTCTGTGGAGGGCCCGACACTAACTGCGCCGATGGAGCGAGCTTAATGGTCGAATCCCTTTGTCTACAATTATTATATACACATGGGTACATATATAGTGACATGCAACTTTCCGCGAGGTCATAGGATCACGAATTCACGAGTAGATTGTTCAGTTCTAACTAAATTATACCATATTAATTAGTAATATCAGTCGATAATTGAATAATTAGTATATATAGGATCCTCGGTAATTTATGTTTTGGGTTCGTCAATATATATATGTGGTATGAGGTATGTTTTAGTAGGAATATTCAGGAGGTAAGTACGTGTACAGAGACATAAATCGAGAAAATATTTTTTAAATAGTTTCCTTAGATATTGATCTTCTATTTACAGAAAAGGAACCCAGAAATCTTTTTTTTTTTGTTTTTTACAATCTGCTGGAAAGTCCAAACAGCATATATGTTCCCAGAAAAAAAAAAGAGAAAGAAGCAGAGAGAGCAGCAAGGCTGAAGCCCAAACATATTTTTTTCTACGGCCCGGTGCGTTGACAAATCTGACTAAAACAGAAGAGGCCCAAACTATTAATAGTTGGGCTGAAGTCGCGAAGGCCTGGCCCATCAACTATCCTTCTCGCTTCCCCAAAATAATAAAAAAATAATAAAATAATAATAATAATGCTTCCCTCCTCTTCGCAGCTTCGCTTCCCATTTCAAACCATATCCCCTCTCCTCGCCTCCTCCCCTCCGCCTCTCTCCTCGTCGGCGGGAAGGGCCGCGACGCGACGACGATGTGCCGGTGCGCGGCGGCGATCGCGAGGGCGGTGGTGGAGTTCCTCGACGCCGTCCTCGTCGGCTTCTTCCTCTCCTTCTTCGGCCCCCACCCCCGCGACCGCGACCGCGACGACAGCCCCGGCTCCGGCCGCCGCGTAAGGGAACCCCCCTAAACCCTAGCCTCCCGTACACATATCCCTCCCGCTTCGTTGCGGGACCTCGTGTTGGATCGTTTGGTTTTGGGAGGGGATTTGGATTGAGGTGGTGATTGTTCTCTGGCGTTTCCGATGCAGGATTCGCTCGCGCACAAGGATCGGCTCGGGGAGCTGCTCTCGGACGACGATGAGCTAGGTCTGATTCGATCGATTTCGTTGTGTGGTTTCGTGTGGGGGTAAGCGCGTACGTTGTCCCCATCTGTGTGTTTGTGGCATTGTTTAGGATTGGGAGGGAGGGGAGGATCTCATGAGGATTTGGCTGATGATTGTGGCAGCGATGAGGAGCTTCGATCCGAGGTATGCTCGAATGATTTTTCTTTTCCCCGTAATCAAGTGCGATGTAATCTATTGTCTGATTATGTACTTCTTCGGATGGCTATTGTCAGTGTCGCGTTCTAGTTTGAGGTTGACAGTCTGATTGTGTATGTGCAACCTTCAGCTTACCAGAAACTAGATCTCAAGTGTTTTTGATCCCTTGTTGTGTTTTTCTACTGTTTGGCTGATAGAATTAGCTTTATACCGTGCCTTCACTCGATTTACTGGCAGTAACAACTATTGCATAAGTTCCATGAAAAGTGCTAAGCTAATTTCTATTGTAAAGTACTAGAGTGAGCACCTAGAGAGTTTGTTGCAAGATTCTGCAGAACGTTTATCCATATTTGTTTGGTCGTGCACCTAGTAGTGATCAGTGAATTAGGAGCTATATATGTCCTAACCGGCAATTATATGACCTGGGAACCCGTTCCTTGTATATGTCCTAGTAGACATGTTCTTAAACACTCAGTATTGCTGGCTGGATATATCTTTTATATTGGTGAGAAAATAGAGAGAAATCACAAGGACTACTGTTTTTGGAAGGAGAATGGAGATTTGGATTCATGGTCTTGACAGCCACCACCTTATGTTCTATAACTAGGCCACATCACCTCACAATTATGTTATAACAATAATCGGATGGTTGTGGAATTTCTTGGAGTTACGGTGTATGGTTGAATCAGTTTTTAAATGAACTGTAGTAAGATCTGTCCTGTAAAAAAGAGTTTTATTTTTTGTACTGTAGTTCAGTAAATGTTTTTATGGGCTTATGAGCATTGCATTTGCAGATAATATGTTTATGTTATATGCTTTGGGCATAAGATTTTGTCCAGAATTTCCATCATATATAGGATTGGAAAGCTCAGTGATGCTACTCCTGTTTTGATTATATTGGTGTACATGTGTTATCTACATATTTTTTTATCTTCTGCAGTTTTTCCTTTTGCTCTCGAAGTCACGCTCTTATCCAGTACCCTTTTTGTTTAGACCTTGTTTAAGATGGTAAATTGTTGAGTACTGAGCTGTTGAGATATACTCTTTATACATATAGTCTACTAGTACTTTACTGTGAAGTTGAATTTTTCATTGCACTTTTTAACTCTACACAGGCAAATTTCCTCAAGTTATGTGGCACACTATTTGAAACACCAGCTGAACTCCATAACATATCCTATCAAATCAATATGGAAAGTTACATTGAGGTGAGAAGAGCATTTCTGAATATTTTGTTTATCAATATTCATTCTCTGATACCTTCACTTCTGATATGTAGCATGATAAAATTCCCACAAATGTACTGGCAGTGGAAGCAACTCCAGCATTTGAATCTAAATCATCTGGAGGGTAAGAACTGCCCTAATTTCCATTAGTGTCTGAAGTTTTTTAATATATTATCATGGTGAGATATTTAATTGATGCTTCATTTTCATACTATGCAGCTTTGAATATGGGGAGGATCATATCTTGACGCCTCAACTTAACACTGAAGATACTGAACATCTTCCACTAGTTAAATCAGTTTATCAATCAGCTATCCGAGGCAACTCCCCCTTCCAGAACATCAAAAGCATCAACGATGGTTCCAGTGATTCACCCTTTCATACTCCTCTAGTATTGAGAGATGATATGCAGACCCCCAGAACTGTTTATACTTCACATAAAGGATCGTCTGGAAAGCGTGTGCGGACCCGCAAACAATTCGCATATCCCATCTTTAGACCAACAGAGAACAAGCTTCAGAAGATGCAACTTTCAGATTCTGCCAAGATGACACAGCAGATCTCTTCAGATTCAGTGGTTAAAGGAGAATCACTCAATTCTTCACATTTCCCTCTTGAGGTGTCTAAGTATCAGCTCGACCGCCAAAGGCTATTGGATGCTGGAGAGAGATCAAAGTCCAATTCAGATGAAAATATTGAGGTGTGCAGTCTATCACGCTGGCTTAAATCTTCACCCGCAGGAAACACGAACCAAATGTACGATGAGAACAATCTTATCGAAGAGGGACATGCCTTTATGACTTCTGAGGATAATGTGGATGTGGACAATCATACTCCGAGGTTGTCCAAGGCTCGGGATTGCCACTGTATTCCAAACACAAGTAGAAAATATGGAGAGGTATTATCACTGACTCATCTAGTGATTTTCTTAAGCTGGGCTTATATGTAAATTCACCACTTGTTCTGAACTTCTGATGGTTTACTGTTGTTAGGATCAACATGTCAGCTGGCATTCCACACCCTTTGAGGAAAGGTTGATAAAGGTTTTGTCTGACGAGGAGGTGCCCCCTACAAGGTAACTTATACTTCCTCCGTTTTACAATATAAGACTTTCTAGCATTGTCCATATTCATTTAGATGTTAATGAATCTAGACATATGTATGTGTTTAGATTCATTAACATCTATATGTATGTGGGCAATGTTAGAAAGTCTTACATTGTGAAACGGATGGAGTAGGAAATTTGTCTACCCATCTTTTACAGAACCTGTCATACATGGTACTAATTGTGAAATCATATGTTTCAACACAGGAAACTTGTCCCTGGAAGGCTTCTCTATCTTGAGGAAAGAGTTTGAGCCTGAAGAAAGAGTGTTGTGGCGATATTTGAGTTCAAACGTGGATGAAATCGTATCATCGAACTCTGAAGTTGTGCACTCTCAAATGTGGACCAGCATGTCATTGCACAAAGTGGACTGAAACACAACTTACAGTACTGCGTTTTCTCTTGCATCATCATCATATACCTGCCACTGTGCTTTTGCTTGCTCCCTGTTGTTACGAGACGTGATGCTCTGTACATATGGTATGGGCTATACCTGCTATGATTTCTTAACTGCTTCTACTTCTAGACCTTTAGGTTGACAATGTAAGTGTTTTTACTTAGCTGTCCTCTAGTTTCTAGAGCCATTTCCCCTTCAGGTACAAGGGATCAAATTCAAATGGCGTCGTATAGCATAGAGCAATCTGACCTTCTAGTTAAGGCATTTCATCGTGTATGCAACATGCCCTCACCTCTCCTTGTTAATAGATACTGTCATATCCACTTAATATGTAATCATTTGCGTAATTCTTAAGTCCTGATACCACACCTGGTTTTCAAATAGTATTCAATAGTGTACCAAGATTGCTAATATGACTGATAACCTGTGCACAGAAACCGTAATCATGAGAACTCTGAAATATGAACCATTTCCGTCTGTACATTTTTCTTCACAATCATTTCGTTTTGTTTGAGCTAGGGCTTAGGCTTAGAGCCCCTTGTGTGTTATATAAAAGCATTTTGAGAACTATAGTATATATGTGATACATGTGAAGGTATATTCTGTTTTCACCTAACTAAACTTGTTTCATCTTATGCGTATTGGAAAATTACGAAAATGCTTTGTATGCCGACGTGTTTTGTATACGTAACAATCATCACTTCATCATCACCAAGGTCGCTGCTGATGCAACTTGCAATTCCATATATGTACTCAAGTGATATGTCCACAGCTACTTCATCATCAAGTCATTCTGTGGAAGGGTACACTTGTTGCCCCACTTGGAGCCATCTCCCTGCAATGGTCTCATTTTCCCCTTCCATAATGTCTTCATAGTTTAATAGGATGCCGAACAAAATCTTGCCCTGGTCACGTATAAAATGTGGATCACATGACTGAAGAACAACTGCAGGTTGGCCACTGATGAAAATTTTGCATGCCAACTTACCTTTTTTCGTCTGTATGACGCTAAAGTGGCCAATGGTTCCTTTGATTTGAGCACCTGCCCGGAGTCCTGGTGTAGATTGATCATCTGACAGCGATTGCATCCTCCCATGGACTGCACATAAGCCATCCAGAATGAATGAAATGAGTAACTCAGCAATTGCAAAAAAGCCAAATTATGGTCTTGTAGCAATGGGATCTTAAGGGTTATAAAATGTATACCGTAAAACAGGCCTCTCCGATACGAAGTTTTTTCCAGTTATCCTCACTGTATGGACTCGACCCAGAGATAACAAGGTTGGGACGGAATCTCATTGCATCAACAGGCAACTTTTGCTTACAGTCCCCTTTGCCTGCAAAATATGTAACTACAGAATAAGTTCCCATAACAAGGTTATCCCAAGAAAAGAATGTGCAGCTATACATTGCATACTGACTATGTTGGATCATAGCCAACAAGGAATGATAAAGTTCAATTAGTTCTATGATTGAGTAGAGGACCTTTTGCGGTAAAAATGAAAAGAGCGGAAAATGAAGGAGGTTGGATACCTGAATTTAGCCGACTATTGAGGTCAGAGATGCTTTCTTCTGATATTAGTAGTAGTTGTCCTTCATTAACAAAATTAAGTTTGCTTTGAGTATCTCTACATGGACGATCTCTCAAGCCAGTATATGTGCAGGAACGGTACTTGGAGCTTGAGCATCTCACCAAGGTACAAGGACGTCCAATAGCTTCACTGAACCATGTGTTTACCCTATCATCGTAACTTTGCACCTCATACCTAAAGCATTTTGCAGGAAGCGATCATTAATGACCATTCTAGAGTAATACTACCAAATAAAATGCAAACCAAATATAATGCCCAATGTTGTAGGAATCCACCCACCACTTTTATATGGTTTACATTTTTGTGATCAAAGTACAATGAGTGCCAAAGGAAGTTTGCGAAGAACAAAAGATGGTGGATCAATCAAATACTCAAATGGGTGATTCGTAAGGTTGCTCAACATGCATCCAATTATCCAATCATACCTCTGACCAAATACATCTACTTCTTCACTTAGATCAGCCAAACTCTCAAGAAGAGAGAGTTGCAATTTATCCCTGCGTGTGGGAGACTCTATGAAGAGTTTCCCAAGTTCCAGGTCTATCAATGTGCGGATTGAGCCCAACTCTGGCACCTGTAGAATATAGTCAATTCATTAAAGGGAAAACCTGAGGACACATTGGCTCCACAATTTTAAACAGATTATCCTTCACCATATATTAAATGTTTTACTAAGGGAATAAGACATCTAATAAATAAAAGAAAGGTTGCAGATTTGCAGTGTCAGTATAAAAACACCATATAAATGCATACATGTCGCGCCCTCATAACTCATAAGGCTTAACAGATACACAAAATAGGAATCGCTAATTTACCTTTTTCTGTGTCAAAATTTCACCTCCTGACCCTTGGAGAAGCCATTCTCTATCATACATTAGGCCTAAAACAAAACACATAATAACTTATGAACTATGCATATAAGGTAACCAAAATAAGTTACAAATGAAAGAACAAGTCAAAGGTGCAGAATTTAGGCATACCACCAGTGGTTAGTGGCCAACTCTTTACACTAAATCCTTGGCATGATTTCACAGGATAAATAATTATGGATTTTAAGTGAATATCTGAAACAGCCTTTTGACTCGAATTATCTGCAACTTACAAAAATATATTAATGTTACTGGTACATGCATAAAAAAAGAAATACATCACTGGCTTCATATTATAAGGCAATTACCTATTAAGTTAAGACTGTTCAGATTCAACATGTACCCGTTGTTGAATTGTACTGGTAGGGATACAAAAGAGGACTGCAGGAACTTCAGGAATTTCTACGGGGGGAAAGGTGAGATTAGCGATAGCTGATAGCTACTTAAAGTTAAGTTTGCATGGAAATTTATATATGCCCTTAACAAATAAAATGGACTAATTTCGCACCTCTGCATCTTCAAATGTGGACATGTACCCAAATGATATCCTGACAGCACCAGTTGGCTTTCCATTTATTATGTCATTATCATCCCAGCAAACATGCCCAGCCTGATATGTATACAGTGCATTCGCTTTATTAAGACGTGAAACATCTGAAGGTATAATGGTATGCTTATTGTTGTGTTGTGTAGTACCTCAAAATTAGAAACTAAATCTGAATGGGACAGTCCAAGATACTTAGCACAAGCGCCAGGGTTACAGAAGCAGCCAGTCTGGAAAACAATAGAGGCAAAAAAATTAGACTGAGCAATTGAATACTCTGGAGTTGATTGGGCAGAAGTTATGATCAGTTTTCTTGTGTGGAAAGATATATGATTGAGATAAGATATACATTGATCTGTACAAGCTAATCGCCACAATGCATAATCCATCACCTGTCACAGGACTTGCACAGCACATGTAGCTGCTTGTTCATAAATCTACAAGTGCTGCTGTTGCATTAACTATGGATGGAACTCATAAAGAAATATTGTCATTCATAAAAACGTAATTGGATTCTCATATTTTAGAACCTTGATTTTCATAGCTCTAATTTATCATGTAATGCGTGGGTAAAATTTCACCACATGAAGATGCCCCAATAGAGATGTTAAAACAGAGACTTAGGAAAGGGGAAGGATGATTTTTTGTGCTCTTACACGCAAATGTATTCCAAACAAGGAAGCAAGCTTCTCCACCTCACGGTATCCAAACCAAGAGCCATCTTCTCTTTTCAAATTGAATGTGATTGTAGGGCCCATTTTCAGACCTTCCACCTAAAACATAATACATAGAAAAGAATAGATAAGTGCAGAGAGCTAGCAGAATTCAAGTGGGCACTTCAGAATATCTTATTCATAATGGCTTGTTCTTATATGGATGACAAATAATCCAAACCAATGGAAGAAAAGTAAATAAAGCAGCAGTAATTCTTAATAAGAAGATAGAAATATAATGAGATATAACTTAGTTATGGAACCTTGGAATACTGTTGTCCATATATTGTGCAAACATTTATCTCATTACTGTGCTTCAGGTCCAGCATTTTGTTTCTCACATAAGTAGCAAGGGATGTAGTATGCCTACAAAAGAACATCAGGGTGTAAACTATACATCATGGATAGGGTGCTAGGACCCAAACTGTCTTACGTACCGTTCAATTGCAGAGGTAGTGAGCATTTCAATGATCTTAAACCCATGTCGGAGAGAAGCTATGTTCAAGAACGAGATTGTTCCATCCTCTAGAACCTGTTCGATATTCTTTCTTTTTTGAACAAAGTCGATGTCAGCAATTGAAGCAGCTACGGTTCCTGGAATTTAATAACAATTCCGGAGGTAAGTTAAAAACCAGGATATAGAAAATAGATTACTCAAAACCAAGTATAACGAGCTGTGACCACAAACCTCCACTAAAATATGTCTTGTTCAACAGATTAGCAGCCTCTGCCATAAAATGGAAAATATAGAAAAGGTCATTAGAAAGGTTATCATTCCCTTGCAAAGAATAATGATGGCAACGATTTACAGATTGCTGTTGTTAGTTAATTTATCTTATCCTATCCAATGTAGCTTAGATTATAATATGTGTAAAAAGAAAAAAAAAACTATCATGCTAAGTTAAGTGATAATTGCTAGTTGCATACCATTTTTTACAATTAGAGCACCAAGGCCAGTTGGATAGCCAAATATCTGCAGGTTTGCCAAAGATATCGATATCAATTGGTGACTTCTGTAGGACCAAGCATTTCAAAACACAACAGGTGCATGTGGATTACCTTGTAGAAGGAACATACAACAAAATCAGCAGGATACACAGTTAAATTCGGTGGTTCAGTGGCACATCCTTTTGCAGCATCTATCAGAACCATCCATTTACCCCTATATTAATGCATTTAATAAGCATGCTAAAGACACTAGAGTCCAAGGAAAACAAGGCAATGATCCTGCAAGACAAATTCAATGCATCTTACTGCTGCTGCAATGGGATTTTTCCTTCCTTGATGAGCTTAACCAAGCTCAGACTGAACTTTTGTCCTGAAAAATTGCATTCTGACGGGAATGCAAATATATTCCAATTGTTCCCTACAGAAGAAATGAATGGGGAGTGAGCATAAATATTAAGCATCGCACTGGAATTAATCTTCCAAATGAGAGCAAACCAAAAGTTTTGCTATCAATATTTCTAGTTATCCATGTTCATTCCACATTGCATGGTCATACAATATGACCATGTCAAACCAATAAACCAAATAAACAAACTTCTTAAGGAAAAATCCAGGAATGATAAATGTGTTCCCAGTTAACTCCCTCATAAAGAATAAAAGAAAGCTAGAGAAAACTGAAAACATCATTAACAGATTGGAAATAAGACAATCAAATTCTCTGTGTAAATTCTACAATATTGATCAATAATTGAACCTGATCAAGAATATGTTATTCAGCAATTGTAAAGGACAAAAATAAAAATCATAAGGGACTGACCTGAAATATCTGAAAGACTTCCGTTCTGACAATTGTGTGAAAGCACATCTTTGCTTCTTCTTTGGTTTGTGCGTCTTGAAATCTTATACAAACTATAACTTCCATTGTCTTTTGCCAGATCAGCACCCTCCTCAACATCAACGGCCAACACAGTAGCTCCTTTACTCAGAGCATATCTAGAAATTTGCTAAGGGAAGACAAAATTTACAAGATACTATGTGCCAATGTGAATTTCATGATCCTACACATAGACTGACAGGAATAAATGGAATTTTGAGAAACTGCCCAGGAGAAATTCATTGCCTCATGTTTGAATGCAGAACACATTACCGAGCATACTGATGAAGGTATCAAGATATCAAGCTATGTACATAAACCAGCTGTATATCCCACTAGTTTTGCATGTATGTGCATAGTTCTGTATGCTTTGACTAGTCAGATAATAGAGTTATAATGATCTGAGAAACGTTTTGTGGTAGGATACTCTCTTATCCCAAGCACACTATTGTGATTCTCCATCGTGTACATGTAACAGCTTTCTCTACTCCATGGAAAACATTCACCAACAAGTTTCAGAGCTGCTGTTGCCCCAGAGGTAAATATGCACTTGTATTCTCTGGGAGATGCATTGAAGTATTTTAAAACCTGTGAAAAACAGGTCAACATCACTACAAAGAAATTAGCAGATGGCAAAACTTGTACCATGCGCATAACTGGATATAGTAAAGATGTAGCTGTGCAGGCACCCTGTTGTAGTACCTTGGAATCAAAACAATTCATGCAACTTCCTGGGGCACAAATCATTGTACGTAGTAGTAGATAAGAAAGTAGCAATAACTAGGGCGTAAAATGGAAAAAAAATGGATGCAGGATGACTCATCATGCAATGTGCCAATGCTGAGCATTGGCATAGACTGATAGAGCTTAAATACTATTGCCATGAGGCAGCCTAAATTCACTATTCTCCCGAAGTAACTGTTCTGGAAAACTAGCACACAATACCTGATGGCGTGCAGCAGTAACGAGGTCACTCGCAGCCATGCTTGAATCACTCTGACTATCTAATAAGCATGTCAAAGAACACATCCCCAAGAATCTGCAGTGCAATGTTCTACCAAGGTAACAACAATGAAGTGTCCAGAACACTGTCTCAAAGTCTAAGGATACGTGGGTTCCCATATACATTGGATGCAAGGTCTTTCAAGACATCCGCCATCTGCGCCTCTGAATACAGCGTCGCACCGGCATGGTCCAGGTAAGCCATCCCTGCTCCTCAAGATCAAGAAAGAAAGAAAATTAAAAATCTAGAAACCTGCTACAAATACAAGCACATTTGTTTTTTTATATATAATGGAAATCAACCCGGATTTGCTTCATAGAAGCTATAGCCAATTCTTATTACATAGTTTGCAGCTCACACTACTGCAGTTCCAAACATCAAAACAAGCACAATTGTTGAAGCTTATGTAGCAAAATTCGGTAGGATGCTAGATTCTTCACTCTCCGCAACAACAAACCTAATAGATTTATCGATACAACAGTGAGTTACAGCAAGAAACGCGGTCATCTGACCGAACGCCACAAGTTCCTATCCATCCTTTTGTTCTCACAAAACACTAATAGAATTCCATTTTTCCTCCCAGAATTTGGCAAAAAGGGAATCGACAAGGTCGAGATTAGGCGCACCTTCAAGCCGCTTGAACTCGGCGGCGCGCATCTCGTCGACGCCCTTGGGCGCGCCCGGGTAGCCATAGTCGCCACCGAACTGCCTCAAGAACTCCTCCTTGCTCACCTCCATCCCTCCCCCCCTCGACTGCAAGAATCTCCTCAGCTCAAACCGCGACCGGCAATCCAATCATCCCAGCTGAGCCCAATCCAAGAAGGGGAGGCGGGGAATCCAGCGGAGCGGGAGGGTCTCGGATTGTCCAGAATTGTGGGATTCCCCTCGATTGCGACTGATTGATTTGATTTGATTCTTCTCCTCCCCTCGTGCTGGGAGACGTGGAGTGGAGCTGGAGAAGTCAGCGCCGTGGATGTGGGATCGATGGGGATGGGTCTCGTGCTCTCGTCTCACCGAGGATTAAAAGAAATTGTGGCGCGCGTGTGGCTTCGACGACGGCGAGAGGTGAGCGGCGCGAGGTAGACGACGTAATGGCTCACGCACTCTTCGGTTCGGTTTGGTTTTCTTCGGTTCTTCGAGATTCTGGTTTTTTTTTTATTCACAGGAGAAAAATATAAGCCGGATTAATTTCTGTTGGAAAAAACAAAGAAAAACCACGCAGGCGTTGCTGCAGTGCAGAGGGAAGGGGATGGAAGTAAAAGATGGAAGTTGGGAACGGCCAAGGTGAAGTACGACAAGTCTACAACCTGAGTTTATCTAGTTTTTTTTTCCCTTGAGTACTCTCTCCTCCATTTCATAGGCTGTGTTTGCATCCCTATGTTCCCAGCCCATCTCCCTCGTTTTCCACACGCACGCTTTTCAAACTACTAAACGATACGTTTTTTGCAAAAAGTTTCTATACGAAAGTTGCTTAAAAAATCAAATTAATCTATTTTTTTAAAATAGCTAATCAAATTTGCTTAAAAAATCAAATTTGCTTAAAAAAATAGCTAATACTTAATTAATCACGCGCTCCCATCACTAGACTCCGAACACAGCGTGGAGTACTATACACTTTAATTTTTTTTCTTTAATTAAATTTTAGGCTTGACTAAAATTTAGGTCATCATCATCGATTGCTCATATTCTGTAATAAATCAAAACGGTTTACTAGAAAATAAAAATAATTTATTAAAAATTATTAAAAGTCAATACTTAAAAAGAAACTACGTTAAAAATATTTAACATCTTATTCGTTAAAAAAAGTTAAGTGTTTTATAGTATTAATTATAAACGAAGGGAGCACTTAAGAAAGAAAACTAAATAAACGAAAAAAAATGTTCAATTATTATTCCTTATAGTTTTTCGGTTTATTTCTGACCACCTACAGGACGCTTCCGTAGATTAATGACGTTGAAACTGTTTCTTAAACATGTAAAAGGACATGCAAACACGTATGCCACATGCGCCACCTACGGCGTGCTGCGTGCACGTCTCACACATATGCTTATCAAGTGCGTCAAAATTGATTTGCAAATTGCAACATTCAAGGACACGCACGCCCCATTTGTCCCGTTGGCAGTGACGTGATTTCGCAGCGTTCTATCGTAAATGCCAGAAAACTAGTAATTTAATTTTGATCTGATTAATGTCAACGAAAAAAAATGTGTCTTATGATAAAAATTTTCTTAGCATATGTTTGGTTTCGGGACTAAGTGGGATGGGATGAAACCATCCCTGATTTTGGAGTTGGGATGATTCCACTCACATGTTTGGTTTGTAGGATGGGATAATTCCAATTTTTTGTTTGGTTGAAAGGATGAGGAAGAGATGGGATGGACGCCGTTTGCCATCACCGTCAACGACCGTCGCCTGCGCCACCTGCATCCACGCGTGGAACAACCGGATCAAGCACAGCGGCAGCAGCAGGACGGCCACCACCGCCGGAGCACCCAACCCGCTGGCCCACCGTCGTCGCCGCGGCTGGATCGGGAGATCCCCTGCGCCGGATCCGCCGCCGCCGCTCTCCCTACCTCCAAGTTTCGCCGCCGCCGAGTCCCCCTTCTCTGGATCCGCCGCCGCCGCCCTCCCTACCTCCAAGCTTCGCCGCCACTCGAGCCCGCCGCGTCGACATCACCGCAGCTGCCGCAACCGCTCTCGTCGAGCATCACGATGAGCGGCGGGATGGCGCCGAGCATCTCGCTCGCGGCGGCGACCGGTGTTAAGGCAGGGGGTCGTGGAGGAGCGCCGGCGGTCGCAGAGGTGGTGGCAGGCAGTCGTGGCGGAGCGCCGGCGGTCACGGAGGAGGCGGCGGGCACGGGCGCGGACGAGCGCCGGCGGTCACCGAGGAGACGCCGTGTGCTCCATCCAAGTGGGACGAGCTCGTCCGGCCGATTTTGCCGGATGGATTTGTCCCGGATCTGGGAGGAATATTCCTCTCTAGGGACCAACCCATCCCACTCGCCCCTCAACCAAACACCTCTAAAAGTGGGTTTGTCCCATCCCATCCCATCCCATCCCACCAACCAAACACTACCTTAGAGATCCCACAAAACGCTTGCCAATGGTGTTGAATCTGTGCTTGTTTTTACCACTGAGAAATTCAGACTTCAGTTTAGCAAAACGATCTTTGGAATTCGAGAATTCAACTGAAGCTTATATATGGTAAAAAATCTAGCCAGCTCACATGATGATTTTACAAAGCAAGCACCTGGATAGATCACAATATACTATGCAAAAACAAAACTACATCTCGCCGGGTAGAACATGGGACTCATGGATCTGAAAGTTGCACAGTTCTAGGTTTGTACCTTGCGAAACATACTACTGAAAGTTAAACTGTACATAAGCTCTTCTTTCAGGTTAGGGAATTGCAGTGCCGGCTGGGTTGCCATGGTAGTAAAACTAGTAAGCACCACAGATGCTGCTAACTTGAAGGGAAAAGAACTGCAGCAGCAGAAGCTCAAGGAAGCTCGAGGTGAGACGCCCTAGAACAACCAATGCTTCTTCTTGGTTTTGCGGGTTAGGAGATCTGCATTGTACATAACAGGAGCACATTCAGAACTAACAATGCAAAATATCATGGTAGGGAATGTTAGAATTTAATGATGTAAGAATCATAAGCGAAAATTCGATGTTCATATAGTCTAAGAAAGACACTCACCGTCAGTTGCGTACAAGGAATTGTAGTGCACTTCACACCAGAAGCTTAGCCACAACTCTACAAAATGCGGGTCATGAAAGAATCAGATACCATCGGTGAGATAAAAAGCGTCGCATGGAACTAAGTATGTGATGATCGGAGCAACACAGCATCCCAGTTCTCACCCCTTGTGGGAGTCACATCCCTGGGGACTATCTCAATTAGGCAGGTGTCTCTGAATGACGTCAGCAAACAAATTTTGGCACCAAACTGTGTACAATTGGAGATATAAAAGGGTGTTAGATGATCTAGAAACATGATATATAATGGTAGGATGTCCAAGGTGACAGACTATGCGTTCATCTTGAATGACAGTTCAGATGGGGGTATATGAATATCAATACAAATTAAAACCTGACTGGTCACTTCTTCTTTATATGGTTCAACCAAACAGTATGAAACAATGACATGTTATCAAACAGGTAAACTGCAGGTGTCTTCCTAAGGACATTATAATGGATGTTAGCCAGCAATAAGCCAATAATAAATATATGCATTTATCAGTTTCATTTGATGTCCTGAAGTAGGATTTAAGGTATAAACGATGAACAAGTTCAACAATCAGAAAGATCAGTCGTTCAAAAACAATCAGAAATATCTGCATAAAAAAAAGTCTAAAGGGGGACCTGCAGTTAAAAAAAGATGTATTCCCACAAACTATTCAACCATCATAACACCACAACAGCTAACATTACCCTGTCTGCAGCTGCTTGTAAAGTCAGATGATCCCCCCATTCCCCAGATCTGCAAGGTGATGGTTATGAAGTATGAGTAAGTAGGCCAAAAGTAATGGAAAAACTCTCTGGATGGTGGATTATAACCTTTTCATTTTCTTCAAGTAGACTTTATATTCCATAGGTACATAGCTTTCATACTGTTTTCTGAATTCCTTTAGCTGAAAAACAGGGATAGTGTTTCAGCACAGTTGCATATTCATGACAGTGCATGATTGAGGCAAGAAATCCACCTGTTTCATGACTAACTTTCTCACATGTTTGTGATAATCGGGGTTGCGAAATATCTGGTCTGCCAAAGCTCGGAACTGTAACAATATGGCATCAAGTGAAAAGGGAACAGGTTTAAGTACAGACTGGTGAAGGTGTAGTTCTACTAAACACCTCATAGTATCAGCTATAAAGATCAAACAACACAGGCCACTTAATCTTCAAAAGAATGTAGGCCAATCTATTATTCACTATTCAGTATAAGATAATGGCAGCAGCCTTAAAACAGTAAATACAAAAAAAAAACAGCTGCTTCAAAATGTTACTCTGAAATAGTGTAGATGATGCGGCACCGTATCTATAAATGAAATGATGATTTAGGTTCAATGGTAAAACAAACCTGACAATTTCCATCACCCTCTATTTGAAACTCGGCCAAACCATAATTTCCCAACCTGTCAAGAAGGATCAGGACAAATGAGAAATATAAGAAAGCGCAATGGCCATACTGTTCTAGAGAGAGAGAGAGAGGTCTGTTTTTTTTTTACCTTTCCGACAATCTTTCATGATCCAAAGTTGCATTATCAAGATTAGGGATTTTTCCATTAACTCGAGGAGTGTGCTGCCATACATGAGGGCATTAGTAACTTGTCATAAAACATAGCCGAAGGCACACTATTGTAAATTAAGAACTTTATTTTTTTATTTAACAATCTGCAGTTAAAAACTGTAATAATTATCGTATTAGTTATTATATTGAGTACTGTATTGGAATATTTATGTACAATTGAGAGAGAATTCCTATATTTAATCATGGTACAGCTCAAGATGAGTTCAAGGGAACAAATGCCAAGGGGGGAACAAAGAAAAATATGGATGACTGTATATTACCGGGATTGAACCCAATTGAGAGAGGCGCCTTCCAAGACTATGCCCACTGTTGTTCTTTGCTTGGGCGAGGAGGCTACCTATTGTTATAGATACCTCCTCCTCGCTCTCCTGTGTACTGCTGCTGATGCTTGAGCTAGAGCTTTTACTAGTACTATCCTGCTGTTCCGACATCCTATCTCCAAATGGACATTGGCAGGGTCTTAGACTGATAAAAGGCTTCAAAGAAAACAAGTAGCAGAAAATTATTGTAGGAGTCCAGCAACATGCATTCGCATGATAAGAAAAAATTCAAAACAACTTGTAGCAACCAACAAGATGATAAAAACATTGCACTTCTTGCCTGATTGATATTAAGAGCTGCAACACATGTTCTAAGATGGAAACATGCCGTTATGTTTTAAAATTTTTGGACAGCAAATGTATACAGATCTTAACAACCCCTGTAAGGATATATTTCGATCACGTTTGAATTCCTTACATCTCATCACAATTAATGCCTAAAAACTAGGATCTTCTGGACACGGATTCCAATTCCAATCAGCAAATGGCTTATGAAAGTGACTACCGATAATGGACTGGATAAGAAGCAAGCAGCAGTGTGTTTTCACAACTGCAAACCAAAGGAGGGTCCCTCCAACACAATCATCAGTGTGTATCTTTCAGTGTAATTGATCTGCCTCTAAAAAGTTCCAACTCCTATAACCTCTTTTACTCCATATTAGAATCCGAAAAATATAAACTGCTTTTAATCGAATCGAGGTGATCCGTTGGTACTTGGTAGAACGGTACTCAGAATGAGTGCTTTCCAAGGAATCGAACTGATCGACCAGACAATAAAGAAACAAAGGAACACACCACATAGCAGATTAGTCGCAGATAAGCTAAACTTTTACATGCCCTACCATTTGGGGACCAAAGTAACCGTCTTTTTTTTTGCCAATAACCTCACCTGGGTAACCAACTGATTCCAAAAACAGATTTAGCCAATCAACTAATCGGATCTTGGATGAATCCATCTAAAGGGGCTTTTTTTTTCCTACCCAGTCCTAACTCAGAACACGACCACCTGGGGATCTTTACTCATCAGTGAAAATTGAACCCAAGAGATATCTATCAGATTGAGATATCAATCTAGAAAGAAAAAATCAATCCAATCAAAACAATCAAAAGCAAGAAGCCACCCAAGACCCAGGAAAACAAGCAAAGCCTCATCACTCAGGTCGGCCAAACCCTGATGCTCATGGAGCCCAACTACGATCAATCAGCAACCCAGCTCACAGATCGGACGAGATGATCGGATGAGCGAGGGAACTTACTAGCTTCGTCGGATCAAAAGGCCACTCTCGCCGCGCCGCGCCGCGCGACAGGAGGGTCTCGAGTTCAGTAGCTCACACTTGCTGTCGGGGCTCGAGCTGATGAGAGCGAAGGAGAGAGAAAGGCCATCTTTCATTCCCTTTCCTCTTCCCTTTTCTTTTGGTTTTTAAATTGGGAGAAGAAATTGTAACCAAACCCCTCAAAAAGATGCCTTTTTGCTGTTTTTCTATGACCTATTTCCGTGGGTCGACCACCAAACTGATGAATATATTTAAAAAATCCAAAAATATCACTGCCTCCTTGGAGTTGAGTTATCGTCAGGCAGGCACAGTATTTTTCTTCCCAGTGCTTATCTCACTCACCGCACAAGCACCATCACCTTTTTCTCTCTTTTTTTTAAAAAAAATCTGCTTAGTACTGTACTAATTAGATTCTTTTTTTTTTGCGGTTAAAAAATTCAGAAATAAGATAATTTGAGTTTGGGCGGCGATTTTGGTGTATTTTGTCCTTTCACTGTTCTGAAGATCTTCAATGCTCATCACCCACTTGCATCTACCGGTCTGTCTCCATGCCCCTTCCCTTCTACTACTGTCGTACTCGGTACATCAGCAATTTCAGCAGTGAGCTCACAGCAAAATGTTGCTACGTGCAGTCTGACCATAAGGTATATTCAGGATTTCAGGTGATTCAGAAATCGCTGAGTCATCAGTGGACATGAACGCTTTCAGACCGATCGAGCTGTGCTATCAACCGCATTGATTTTGTGTGGGGAGAAGAAGCTTCAGGCTTAATTTTGCCTGAAACTTTCTGGCACTGTCTAGCAACAACAGGAGTGCCACTGAAACTTTCTGCCATTCCGCTGTGTTCAAAGTAGTACTGTTCATGCAACAACCAAGAAAAGTTTCTGATGGTGCACATGCCTGAGGCCCTGTGTAGTTTCTAGAAAGTTTTTCCCAAAAAAATCACATTGAATCTTTAAACAAATGCATGAAGCATTATATATATAGATAAAAACAAAAACTAATTGCACAGTTAGGGGAAAAATTGCGAGACGAATCTTTTGAGCCTAATTATTCCATGATTAGCCATAAGTGCTATAGTAACCCACATGTGCTAATGACGGATTAATTAGGCTCAAAAGATTCTTCTCACGGTTTCCATGTGAGTTATGAAATTAGTTTTTTTATTCATGTCCGAAAATCCCTTTCGATATCCGGTCAAACATCCGATGTGACACCCAAAAATTTTCATTTCGCGAAGTAAACGGGGCCTAATCTTAGTATCTGACGTTGAGAGGAGTAGAGGACGGTGCGGGTGACCGACAGCAACTTTCTACTATATGCCAAACTTCTGGAAATAGGAAAAAGTTACTACTCGCAGGCAATCGAGACCCAGTTTTGTACCAGCTTATACGGAGTAGTTCTGAATTGAACAGAGGCTGCGTGTTTTGTTGACAGTTTGAAGAGAAAATAATGGTGAATTACAGATTACTAACTTGTAAGCTATCTGTACTAGTGCTACTCCACACAGAGATAGCGTGTTTTGTTTGACATAACTTTAACTCGCTTATTTTTAGTTGGATTTTCTTATGGCCTTTTTTTTAGGCTTTTAAGTCTTTTTTTCAATGATCTATAAGTCGGTGGATAAAGTTTTAAGTTTAAGGGTGAAGTTATACATCTACTTTACATTAAAAAAAACTTCTCCAATTTAGTTTGTGGCTTAATAGTGTAAGAGTGACTTATAAGTTATAACTTTGAAAAGCCAAACGAAAAACCTATTTTTTTGCTTTGGATTATAAGTTTAAACAAAGAGAACGTTAACGCTAGAAATCCTTAAAAGTTGAGCCGATGGTAGATCAAAGTAATTGAGACATTTGTTTTGTTAGAGACGAGACATTTTGTTTATATCATAGATAAAAATAACTTTTATTTCATATATAAATTCATTCATAGTAAGAATCTCACAAACTTGAAGCAATACAAAAGAGGGTCACGTAGAAAAATCATCGGCATTATCTTTTCGCTTATGCTTATACTTATTAGCCAAAAATAAAATTTTCAACTTAAATTTGGAGTTGTTTTGTCGAAGTTTATTTTCCAGCCTTTGCTTTTAGATCACTAAGAATACACATATAAAAAAATATTCACAAATTATTTTCCGTTTACAAATATGCCATTTGGCTTATTCCCATGATAAGCAAAAACGATGGCGCCGCATTTCTCACAAACTTCTCAGACTTCAACCAATCTTGCATGTTGTTTAGTTTTGGGCCCAAAATTTAGGCCCAATTATGGCCTTGTTTTGGCCGGCCCATGAACAACCCAGGCCTGCCTCCGAGGGAAGAGAAAAAACGCTACACAGAGTAGTCAACCAACCTGCACTGTACCACACAGGACACGTTCCACCGCAGCAGCACAAACAAATCATTCCGTGTGACACTACGTGGGACGTGCCAGACCTGCACAAAACCCAACCCAAACCCAACCAACTCCACCCCTCTCTCTACTGACACGTGGGCCCTCCACGTCAGCCTCACCCCCCTCTTGTGGCCAGCAACGAAGCGCCCCGAAGTATAAAGAAACATCCACATCGCGCACAGCACAGCGTCGCGTTTCGCATTCTTATTTTCTCTTCGCTTCGTCCCCCGCATCGACACGCACGCACACCAGCAGCACAAGCACCCAAACCCTAGCTCGCGGCCGCGGCGAATCCTGCGCGCGCGAGAGAGACCCCGGCTGATGGTTTCGATGAGCGCGACGCCCAATCCGATCGATGCCTCCGTCGTCTCCGCCGCCGCCGCCGTCGCGGGCGGCGGGGGAGGTGGGGATGGGGGAGGGGGAGGAGGAGGGAAGGAGAAGGAGAAGCAGGTGGTGGCTGCGCCGCTGCAGCCGCCGATGGCCGTGCCTGCACCGGCGGCGGCGGTGGGGGAGGAGGCGAGGAAGGTGAGGAAGCCGTACACCATCACCAAGTCGAGGGAGAGCTGGACGGAGCCCGAGCACGACAAGTTCCTCGAGGCGCTGCAGCTGTGAGTGCCCCCAATTCTGCCCCCGTCTCTCGCTCTCCCTCTTATCTCTGCGCGCGCGCGGCGCGCCCCCCGTGGTTGGGGATAGTTTGGCGGCTTTCGTGCTGCTTTTTTTTTTTAATCTTGTATGGTGGCGTCTGTGTCGTTGTGGAGTTTGGATGCGATTGTGCATCTGCTCCTCCTGCGAATGCTAACCCTGGGTAGTTTGAAAGACGGCTTTTTTTGGAGGAGGTATTCAATTGAGGATAGGTTTAGCCTGCTGGGTCGAATTGGGTGGTCGAATCTGTTGAGCTGAGCAGTCGTGGTTGGGAGGCACTACCTTCTAGGTCTCACATTTTGGGTAGACTATGATGTTTTGATTTTCGATTGATCTTTTAACTGAATTACGGTGCTAGAATCCATGCGTTCAGTAGGGGCCAGTAGCTTGACAGGCGTGCTTCTTTCATGTCTACTCCCTCCGTCCGAAAATGAACCAACTTTTGTATGTGAATATGGACATAGGCTATGTCTATATTCATTTACAAAAGTTGGTTTATTTTTGGACGGAGGAAGTACAATCTCGTTGTAGCTGTAGGAGTAGGGAGGTTTATGATATTCTGATCCTTGGATTTGTGAACCAAGTTGCTGGGTTTAATGTTGGGAAGAGTGCTGTTGGTATTATCTAAATGTACCAGTGGTTATAGAATTTCCTGCATGTTAGGGTTACAATATTTATTTTTCCTGAACTCAATTAGCATCTGATGGTAGTTTAAAACAAGCATTTCATTGCTTCCTTTTTTATGTGGGATGATAGAGGTCGCTCTACCTGATAAACATTGTATTAATGGAAGTTAAAATGTGCTACAAAATGCCATGTAGGGCTAAACCAAAAAAGAAATAAAGGGATATAGGTGGTACAACCTGTACAGAAATTGAAAAGGTTATAAATAAGGGAAAGAGCAATATGCAATGATATCAAATGTTAGAATACCCACCTGTTAATAAGCATATAGTGTGGTTGTTTTGCTCGATAGATCCAAATGCAAGGGATCACTTGATGATTTTTGTTAGCAGGCGACAGATAACAGTTTTCATCCTGAAACAGTCCTTTATGTGAAGCAGATTGGCCAGAGTTGTTGCAAGCTTTGAACTTCCAATATCATACTTGTCAGGAATTCTAATAGGTTACCTGAACTGTTAGCTTTCTCGAGCATACCAAGTTTGTGCCATAGGCTTCCAGCAGTCTTGCATCTTAGTATTACTATTATGTAACCAGTTATTTGAAACGCTGGACAGTGTGGGTATTCATTCAGACCAGTTTTCCTTTGCACTAGGCTGATCTCTATAGGCTAACCAAAGGAAAACATGACAGTAGTGGGGATAGGTTGGATCGAGATGTTTTCAGTAGAAAGGTTTCTGTTAATGTCTCTTGTTGGTTGTTTCTGCATGGTAGGATTGGACACGGTAAAGGGTGCATCTTGGAATAATTCAGAGAAAAAATAGTTCTAAAATGTGGATGTGCTGGTTTGTTATCACTATTAACCTTTGAGATCTAACATTATTATTAGAGGATTGACAGATATTGACAGTGTGGGAACATACAACAGTAGTGGTAATCTTATTGAACTTGTAATTTGAATTAACGTGGGCCTGTTTATTTTATAAGACTTATATCTCTTAATGTTGCTGGTTACTGCTAAACTTTTCGAACTTAACTAGCTACATATCATACACATGGCTGTTAGGGTGACTTTTCTGTATAATTTATTTGATCGCTAAAATTTTCTTGTTGATTAATTGTAATTAGGGTGGTCAATGTTGTGTACACACCTCTTAAATGTGCTTCCTTTTCTTTTGTTTGATTTAGGTTCGATCGTGATTGGAAAAAGATTGAAGCATACGTTGGCTCAAAAACTGTGATACAGGTATGGTTCATAGCTACCTTTCAAGTTAACGTTTTCATTCTTCTCTGCTAGCCTTTGGAGTGGCGTGTTGATGTTTGATTTGAGGCGTTCTATATGTATCTGGTTGGCAGTGTCACACATCATTTGAAATTTATGCACGCCACATATTATTTGAAACACACCATTGTATTCTGTCTGTTAATTGTTGTCATTTTATTGACTTATAGAATCTTATGCCTGATATGAAAATTGAAGCGCTATGCTTGAAG